TCTCAATAAAGCACCACTCACCCCACTCTGCCTCACACCTCACACCCACTACACTAACACCGGTCTCGGGGCTAAGACAGAGGTCTGCTCCATGTAGAGCATTTCCCGTCTCTCGCTCTCTCGGAAATTGTTGATAATAGTAGAGTTGGCGGCCTGGTGGCTCACCCTCCACTCCTGGCCTGGCGCTGGCTGTGGCGGGTGTTGCTGAGGCGGGTCCTGCTGTGGCGGGTGTTGCTGAGGCGGGTCCTGCTGTGGCGGGTGTTGCTGAGGCGGGTCCTGCTGTGGCGGGTGTTGCTGAGGCGGGTCCTGCTGTGGCGGGTGTTGCTGAGGCGGGTCCTGCTGTGGCGGGTGTTGCTGAGGCGTCTGCTGTGGCGGGTGTTGCTGGGGCGTCTGCTGTGGTGAGTACCGCTGTGTTGCATATAGTAGTGCTGTGTTGGGTGATGTTGCGGTGGGTGGTGCAGTGGTGTGAAGGACTGTGGTGAGTCTTGCAGTGGTGTGAAGGACTGTGGTGAGTCTTGCAGTGGTGTGAAGGACTGTGGTGAGTCTTGCTGTGTTTGGTGAGTTAGTGGTGAAGACTTCCACGATCAATTGCCTCCTTGAGATTTAGTGGTTCTGTTGTTGTTGTTGTTGTTGTTGTTGTTTTAGATTTAGATACTCTGAACGAAGTGTGCATGTAGCACGGGCTAGGGTGAGCCCGTAATTTGGTTGTTTACAGGCTATGATATTTATATTAAATCTCAGTACTCCCCCCTAACGCGCACACACTGTAAACCCGCAAAGCAAACGTTTATAAAGCAGCGGGACTTACTGCAAAACTTGCTCTGCACACAAGCAAACTGAGCTATACAGTTAGACCAAAGGAAGCTATATGTATACATTTGACAACACATGAAAAATATGAGATAGGATATTTAATGTATCTTATTCAATGTATGTATACAAGAGTTCTTACGTGCTTGTAAAGCCACTATAGCACGCATGGCGCCTCGGGCAGGTGCTTAATCTTAATTTTCTTTGGAATTCGACCCGCCAAACCGTTTAACAACCAGGTACCCATCCACTGCTGGGTGAACAGAGCCGCACAGTTAAGGATTTGCTCCTAATCATTCCTCCTCGGCCTGGATAGGAACCTGGGCCAAATTGCTTGCGAAGCGCGGGTTGAGTGTGTTACCACTGCGCCATGGGGGACATGATCTAGATTTATAACTACAGGTTTATCGATGAAATAAACATATTTATATATATATATATATATATATATATATATATATATATATATATATATATATATATATATATATATATATATTTGTGTGTGTGTGTTTCCTCACCTGTAAATACACGGGGCCAATATCGTCCAGGAGTTCGATATGCGACCTCGACCCGACTATGCTTGGCAAGCACCATAGAGCAATCACAGTGCAAAGTTGGATGAGGCTAGCCCAAGCGTCTGGGCCTTCCATCTCGGAACATGACAGATAGATGTTCAGTTTTAGATAGATACGTGTGTGTGTGTTTGTGTTGAAGAGATTCCAGTAAAATGCCTTAAGTCGTTATTCTTTCTTAAACTTTAAGATTTTTTTCTTCAGAAACATTTTTTCCGTTAATTAATAATTAATTAAGTTAATTAAGACAGGTGTATTATAGGTCAGGTGACGGTGACATGCACACAAGCTGGAGTAATTGGTGTAGAGGTGGTCCTTGAACCGATATGTTGGTCATGATTATTTGGGTAAGATTATCTTTCAATGAGTGGGTGAGTCAGGCCTCACAACTCACACTCAACCCTTGTTAACCCACTGCCGCGCACTCCCACACACACACACTAGCGTGCGCTAAATATACTCATCAAGATGCTGGTGTTTACATTTTTGTTTAAATTTTGCCCCGAGGGGCGAGTTTATTGGGCAGTGTTGCAATTAGCCAATATTTAAGCTTCTTCACATATTCCAGGTGCCATCTGACCACACACCACACACCGCACATCCCACCAACCTCGCCACAACTCACCAAGGCGGCCAGTGTATCGCCTACAGGAGCCACCAACCTCACTTACCCCGCCCCTACGCAAGGCACAGCGCCAGCCGTCACCCCACACCAACAATGGCTGCGTCTCCTCCTCCACTCAACCACCCTCCCTCAGCGTGGCCACCGTCACTCTCCCTCACACTAGTGCTCTTGTTGGCCTGCTCCTGGCAGGTGACGTCACTCCAGAGGCAGACCTTCGACGGCCTGACGTCACCGTCTCATCTCCGACACGTTTGGCGGGCTGGCCGCCAGACCTTCCTGGCGGAGGGTGGAGCCACCGCGGGAGACTTCACCGTGCTGGTGGAGGGTGAGGACCTCGCGGAGGACTGGACGACGACGGTGTTGTCAGGGATGTCAGCGCAACACGACGTCTTGCGAGACGGGAGTACGTCGACGGAGGAGCCCTTGACGGACGGCAGACGGAGACGGTCAGCGGCAGGAGGAGAGGAGCCTGTAAACTTCACCGTCGCAGGTAAGGCTATGGTTTACGTAGTATACAAACTTTACCTTTTTAGAAGCGAGTTTTTGTTGAGGGGAATTCGCCTGCTGTCATGTGTTTATATGTGACTGTAGTCCCGTGTGATGTCACTGTAACCCCGCGAGGGTGGTTATATATGTGACTATAGTCCCGTGTGATGTCACTGTAACCCCGCGAGGGTGGTTATATATGTGACTGTAGTCCTGTGTGATGTCACTACATAACCCAGCAAGATTGTTATATATGTGAAGTCATGTTTGAAGGGTCTCATCACCTCTTGGAGTGAGGTGTGAGCTATATGACCTAGGTGTTGGTACCTAACTGTAGTGAGAGGTCGAGCTGTGGTTCTTGTGACTCGCCTCTCTGGTATTTCTTTTCATAAACTCATTAATGTAGAATATAACCTTTCATATTCATACATTATTATATATATATGTGTGAATATGAAAGGTTATATTCTAAATTAATGAGTTTATGAAAAGATATACCAGATCTATATTTGTATAGATACCAATATATATATATATATATATATATATATATATATATATATATATATATATATATATATATATATATATAATATACACGTATACGTATTATTGTACCATCGTGGCCGAGTTGGTTAGGCAGGGGATGATAATTGGTTGGTAATTAAATCAAAATGAAAATAAATGGAATTCTATGAAACTTAAATTTATCAATGAAATCGGAAATATTGAAATAGAATCGTAACATATTTAGTATAGCGTGTGTTGCTATTACGTGCAACAGATGGCGCCGTTTTGCCCAAAAAAAAAGCATTTTTTACCTGTCACAAATGTGGCATCTATATAATAGTAAATAAAAACATGCGCATATTCGAATGGAACGTTGTGTTAAAATTTGAAAACAATCGGTGAAGAACTTTCGGAGATTAAAGCGTGTGTTGCTCTTACGTCCAACAAATGGCGGTTTAAAAAAAAAAATGTTTTTTTCCTCTCACAGGTGAGGCATGTATATAGTAGGTATATAAAAACACCTGCCTATTCGAATGTAATGTTGTGTCAAAATTTCAAAGCAACTGGTAAACAGGTTTCGAAGATTTCCCTCACATGAAAAACACAGTTTGTCAAAAAAGCATGTTTTTTTCCCGTCACAGACGTGACATCTATATAGTATGTATATAAAAATCCACTCGGATGCGAATGGAACGTTGTGTGAACATTTCAAAGCAATCGGTGAAGAACTTTCGGAGATCAGTGATTTTGAACAAACGAACATTTACATTTTTATTTATAGATACATATATATGTACGTGACAGCTTTGCCACATCTAACTGGACAGTTAATTTTGTAGATATTGCCAAAGGTTTCTGTAATCTCGAAAAGTACAGTGATGTCTCAGCTGAAGATATTAATGTGTGCAAAGGTATGATGTATGGCGTTATGGTGTTTTACTTAACAATTCTGTACCTAATTGTCCAAGTCGATTTAATCATGCGTTAAAAATGATCAAAAAAAGATAATTCATTACACTTTACCAAGGCTGATAAGTCAAATGCAGTAGTTATTATGAATAAGGATGATTATGTCCGAAAAATGGAGTTACTCCTGGAAGATAGGGATACTTATCTATTGGTTAACAAAGATCCTACTGAAAAAGTGACCGCACATTTTAACAAAACTCTCAAAACTGTGTGTAAAGGCGACAAAGAGCTGATTTCTAGGCTAACAAGTCGATCTCCCTCTCTACCCTACATGTATGGTCTTATAAAAACCCATAAACCTTATAATCCAGCTTGACCGATTAGACAGTTCAGTTGGTTCGGCGGCTTATAAACTCTCTAAGTGGTTGGTCAAAGTTTTGTCCCCTATAGTTGGTACTATTTCCAACTCACACTTAAACAATGTAGACTTAATTAATAAGCTATCCGCACTAAACTTGAATTTTGGTTTTAAACTAGTAAGTTTTGACGTGACTGCCTTATTCATTATAGTACCTGTTGATGATTTGTTAGAATTCCTACGTGAGGAACTCCCTAAATATAATTTGAGTTTGCAGACCAATAGTGTGTTAGAACTTATCAAATTATGTATAAAAGACAATTATTTCAGTTTCAATGGAAAAATTTTCAAGCAAACATTTGGAATGGCGATGGGCAATCCCCTTTCCCCAGTTTTGAGCAATTTGTATATGGATTTCTTTGAAACAAAAATCTTATCCAGGATTATCCCCTCTAATGTTGTTTGGTTTAAGTATGTTGATGATATTTTGTGCTTATGGCCAAGTGACCAAGATCAAATTATTTTTCTTAATGAACTTAATTCTTTGGTACCTTCAATAAAATTTACTGTGAGAATGAGGAGAATGGTACTCTTCTTTTTGGACATTATGATTCATAGTCAATCGAAGGTTCAAATTTAATGTGTATAGGAAGCCTACCAACGTGGGGTCGTTTGTTCATTATTATTCGAATCATCATAGTAAAGTTAAACAGGCAGTATTTTCAGGAATGTTTCTTCGAGCTTTGAGGGTATGCAGCCCTGAGTTTTTTGATGAAGAAATAGCTAAAATAAATGAAATTGGGAAGAGTTTACAGTACCCTAAGATGTTTTTGGATTGTTTCGTTTGAGCAAGCTAAACGTACGTTTTATAATAATGTCTCCAAAGCGAAACCAGAAATTAGAAACATATTTGTGGTACTTTATGCGATGGAGCTTGAGAAACTTTCCCCAGTTTTTAAGAACTTTAATATCAATTTGGTGTTCACAAATAATACGATCAAATCCAGTTTAATAAAAAAAAAAACTCCCCTGGTACAGCAGGTTGTGTGTATTCGATTCCCTGCAATGATTGTGAATACCTTGGACAAACAGGAAAATCCTTACAATTACGTATGTTCCAACATGCTTATAGTATAAGAACTTCCCAAACGTCTAATGCTTTGTATCTACACACAAGTTTGTGTGATCACACTAGTAATTGGGATGGGGCGAAAAGCATTACCAATTGCAATGGCTGTGTGGAACGGAATTTAATTGAGTCTGCCCTAATCAGTGTCCCAATCTTCTCAATGTTAGTACTGGTATGTACAAACTTGACCCAGTTTTAAGTTACAATATTGCACAACAGTTTAAGAAAAAACTATGATAGGGAGAGTTACATATTGTCTAACAATATTATATTCATATATTTTATGTGTGTTCAATGAGGCTTTTTCTTTAATCTTTTATTCTTACCGCTTAAATCCTTCAGACCTTTCTAAGCTAATCTATACATTTTTCTGTTTAATTCTTTCCCAGGAGATTGTGGTCAGGCTCTAGTGGTAGCCTCCACTCTTCCTTTGTGATTTCTTTTAGTCTGGTATTGACAACGGCCTTGATTGGTCGAAACGTTCATCTTTCTTTTCCATTTCTCTGTGGATTTTCCGATATATATATATATATATATATATATATATATATATATATATATATATATATATATATATATATATATATATATATATATATGTCGTACCTAGTAGCCAGAACGCACTTCTCAGCCTACTATGCAAGGTCCGATTTGCCCAATAAGCCAAGTTTTCATGAATTAATTGTTTTTCGACTACCTAACCTACCTAACCTAACCTAACCTAACTTTTTCGGCTACCTAACCTAACCTAACCTATAAAGATAGGTTAGGTAGGGTTGGTTAGGTTCGGTCCTATATCTACGTTAATTTCAACTCCAATAAAAAATAATTGACCTCATACATATTGAAATGGGTAGCTTGATCATTTCACAAGAAAAAAATTTGAGAAAATATATTAATTCAGGAAAACTTGGCTTATTAGGCAAATCGGGCCTTGCATAGTAGGCTGAGAAGTGCGTTCTGGCTACTAGGTACGACATATATATATATATCTATATATATATATATATATATATATATATATATATATATATATATATATATATATATATATATATAGGCTTCTATATAGAAGTAGGCTTCTCGGCCTACTATGCAAGACTCGATTTGCCTAATAGGCCGAGTGATTTTCTTTATTTCCAATAAATTGTTTCCAATTAATTTATTTGAAATATTATTATAATAGTATGTTATATTAGTTTAGGTTAGGTTAAGATAGGTTAGGTTAGGTAGGGTTGGTTAGGTTCGGTTATATATCTACGTTAGTTTTAACGCAAATGAAAAGAAATTAACTCATACATAATGAAATGGATAGTTTTATCATTTCATAAGAAAAAATTCTAAAAATATATAAATTCAGGAAAACTTGGCTTATTAGGCAAATCGGACCTTGCATATTATGCCGAGAAGTGCGTTCTGGCTACTAAGTACAACATTATATATATATATAATGTACAACATTATATATTTATATAAGGTACAACATTAATATATATATATATATATATATATATATATATATATATATATATATATATATATATTATATATATATATATATATCGTTTCGAACTCTAGTGTTTATCACCAGAAAAAAGACAAAAAAATTAATCAGGAATTGCTAAACTATTTTTAAAATTACAGCTATACTGTATTACATTTAGAAATACCAACTTACTGAGTCCAAATTAGAAGACGTTAAAATTTGCATAGATCCTAAAAATTTGTACAGAGCCCAACAAAACAAAATATATAAAGCTTGTAAACCCACAATGAAAAAATTATATTCAAATAATAAAATAACTGTTATGCATCACTTGTTTTGCAACTAACATCCGCCAAACAAAAATTATTTACTAGAAAATCTGACAAAACATTATTTACTATAATCAAAGGGGGGGGGGGCTAAAAAATAGTATCCCCCTTTTGATTTGAAAATTATGGAGACCTTAAGGGGTCAGATTCACGAAGCATTTACGCAAGCACTTACGAACCTGTACATCTTGCCTCAATCTTTGGCGATTTTGTTTACCATTATTAAACAGTTAATGAGCTCTGAAGCATCAGGAGGCTGTTTATAACAAAAACAACAGATGAT